TCAGAGAGAAAGAGAGAGAGCCTACTTTACATGCAATCGAAAATGATGGATTCTCTTAATTATATAGTTCATAGAGATTTGACAATCCAAGTCTAACCAGTTATCAGTATTTTCTTTCCTCTTAATTTTTATGTATTTTTTAGCCCAGAGCGTGATGCTGTTTTTTTAAGATTAAGATTTGATACTGAAAAACATGATCAGTAATATTTCATTTACTCTGCTTCCGAATAAAATGGCTTCAAAGATATTCCGCAACACTCAGAATTATGCAGTTCTAAAAATAAAATCGTCATTTTAAAATTCCTTTCTTAAACTGAACAGAGTTTGTTAAACCTTCAATAATTAAGCCGTAGATTAAATCTGACATAAGCATTATGTTTAAAATACATTTAAATAAAGTAAACCAACACTTACATTTTATATAAATGATTTTATTAAAAAGCATAGAACCATGTGCTAATAGCAATCTTTTCTAGCCGCCTATTATAGCGGAGTAGTGATTTTGATCCTCACTGGGTGCCCCATGAAAAAAAAAAAGAAAAAGTTTACTTTTTTTTTCATAAGTAATTACCGTAGTTCCTTGAGTATAATACGCCCCCCCCGTTTTTCTGAAGCTAAAAACAGGGAATAAATCATATCCTTGAGTATAATAGAACCCCGTAATACAGCCATCTCTATGTATTTTTTTAAGAAGTTGTACGATATTATCCATTGAAATTTAAAAATAAAAGTTTGATTTGACTTTATTATTCAGTATATATATATATATATATATATATATATTAATAAGATATGAAAATAAGAAATATAAGAGAGAGAAACTATGAAAGAAAAAAAAAAAAAGAAAAACCTACCTTGTGAGGAAAAATGAGTGTATTTGCAATGCTCCCGTTTCAAATAAGACTTTCTTTTAGGCTGAGTAAAAAAATATTTGAAAACGGGTACTTGTGTATAATACGAGCCTCCATTTTGCCATTAATTTTCGTTCAAGATTTCTCGTATTATGCACAAGAAAATATGGTAAAAGATATTTTTTTCTTTAGTATTTTACGATGAACTCTGAAGCGTATGGTAATGATTAGGGGGCTAGTCTCATAAATCCTTACAACTGTAGTGAGTTGATTTCTAACTAGTTATGCCACACTTGTGGACTGAGGCCCAGATTAATTTCAGTTTATAATTACCTATTAGCTTTATATCGCAGCTGCGGAGTTGAATATTAAAGCTAAGTTATGCACAATATAATGCAATGAACGAGATTGGGTAGGTGAATGGGGTCTCCGAAGTAAAATTATCCAATGTTTAAAAGTAAACAATAAAAAAGTGAAGTAATTAAAGATTAAAGGAAATAACTTTTAGAACTGAGCAATGAAATTAAAACGAGAAGTGAACTGAACCAAATCGTCTCTCTCTCTGATTATATATATATATATCTCAAACATACACATGCCAAAAGTCAGAAAAAGTCAAGTGCCATACATAATACACGATTGGGCGATCATGTCTCTTTCGTGTCATGACTGACGAGGCAGAAGATTTTTCCCTTAGTAGGTTGCCATTTCTTTCTGCGCTAGACTAGTTGCCAACCAAGGCTCCAGGTCCCAGTCTTTCCTGTTAGTCAACAAATGGTTAGACCATTGAACCATTTCACATCCCATGATCTGTGGTACCGAGTGTGTACCGGAATACCTGATGGAAGTCATTATCACCCTTCGTAGAGAGCGCTCTGGTTCTTAAGATAACCAGAGGCTTCTGACTAGAAGGAGGCCCCAGTTTCATATCCATCATAACAATTCTGTCTTCTTTAGCTTCAATGTGAGGAGTCGACATATAAATGGTGTGCCTATTGAATCCGTGGCACTGAACATAGTATCTCTGCTGGGCATGTGACATCGATAATCGGTCTCTGGGGGGGGGGACAGAATTGGTATGGTACTGTGAGTCATGGTGTCCATTTGTTTTGAATTGAGGATAGGATTCGGATAACAAAATAGCTTTAATCTAATAGGAAATGGATTCACCTAATGTCCGGTTCACTTCTCCCCGATCTTTTGAACAAGAGTAGCGGTATATCCCTTGTTTTCTGTTTCTTCTAAGGACTGCTTCAGCCACACTCCCTAACGGTTGTTCTTAACCCTCTTCCTTGCGTGGCTCTTGGGCCTTGTATTGAATGAAACACACATTATATATATATATATATATATATATATATATATATATATATATATATATATATATATATATACACACATACATACATACATTCTAAGCAGGTCATTGACCGGTGAACGCTACACTGCATCGATTCGAGACTAGGCCACCGGGTCCACATTGCCCATATCTGGTTTACTTCCGACATATGATATGTTGCTACCATGTTCACTCGCAAGATCTTCCACCTAAAAGCATCGGGGAACTGTAGATTAGAAGGCATGGATCAAGTTTTCTCCAAAAGATCTTCTGACAACTTGTGAAATCGATGTCACGTCCTGTTGCTAAAGGGGTTCTACATAACATTAAACACCTATCTCATGACTTTTGGCATGTCATTGTATATATGAAACATTGCTACAATTTATAAGTGCTTGTAGATAAATAAGTATGAAAACCCTAATAGTTGCTGCGTACTTAATCATGTAAAGAGATTTGTAAATCTTGGAGCCAACTTGTCCATTTTTCTTACCAATCGTTTCTTTAAAATCATAGCTGAGTGGTGGGAGTAAATACAACAACTAGTTTTGAATTCAGACTTGTCTTTCTCGTAAACTGGTTGACAACCAAGATTAAAATTTCTCTGCCCTGTCATTTTATACATAGCTGGATTGATATCCTTTCCATCACTTAGTCAGCTCATTATTAAAATCGCTGCACGTCTAATTTTGGCTTCGTACTCGAGTTATGAAAAATTTAAAAAATATTCGAAAACGTTGCAAATAATCAATTAATTATATATATATATATATATATATATATATATATATATAGTGGAATATTATTAGATCGGATTGAAGAATCTATGAGTCGAGTTCAAATCCAGTCTATTTCATGACATTCACTTACGTGCAAAATACTCTTGGGAAAGGTATGAATCCCGTTCTTCCATCAGCCATGGGTAAATAGCAAGACAAATTGGCTCCTACAGCCTTGATGTAACGCGGTCTAGGAGAAGGACAAATCTGAATTCAAAACCTCCAACTATAGGTTAACTTGGCCAAGAGTGGTGAGTACGTCTACGCCCCCGAAGACAAGGTCAATCATGGAGGAGTTCCTCCAAGGAGGAAGAAGCCTCTGGGTCGGGATCTATTCTAACAAGATTTCGTCCCCGATACTTTTTAAAAAAAAAAAATTTAAGCATTTTAGTTATTAGAGATTTTCCGACTAAGAAGAAAACTGAAAATACATTTTTAATATTTTTCTGCTGCTGTAAACGTACTCGTGTTTTAATGAAAATTACAATTCCTGCGATCGACGTATATATGCATTTTTAAAACACTGATATGTCGGTCCTTAGCGTTTGTGTTATAATTCGTGGATTTCTTTTCCCTAAACTAGGGTAACATACGGTCTGTCTTGTGACTCATTTAAAAAAAAAAAAATTATGTTGTGTGTTAGGGGTGTTGTTTACATTAGTATGTACTGCAAAGTATTCGATTGAAACCAAAATGGCGGCACTCTGGAGAAATCGCCGTCAGTGTCATAGTAATTTAATTTCAGTAAATGACGATTCCCTATTTTTCTCAATACGGTTCAGTATAGCAAAGCAACAATGCAGCATTGATCACTGCCTTCTGTTGGTAGTCAAGCGCAGGCCAGAAAAAAATCTGTGTGGGTCTTTAAATAAACATTCGACATTTATGAATACAGAGGATTAAATAGAAAAACAAAATACAACAAAAACATAAGCTTCGTTTGTTTACAAATTGAATTTTAATAAATCTCAGGAAAAAAATATTTCACAAAGATGAATCTTTTTATAGCCTCGTTGTGATGAGGATAAATTTTTTGGCTGTTTTTCCCCCATTATATTCAGGAATTAATTTTCTTTTTTTTTTTTTTTTATCTTGTTTCAGGATGTATTAAACCATAATGAAAATATTAAATAAGGAATTAGGGAGATTATTGAATATGATTTTTTTTGTGGGTCTTTTTTAACGTAGGTAATCATTGATTTTCGTGAGCGGTTTTGGGAATACATTTAATGTGCATATCGGTGGTGTACACGTGCATACACATTAACTAATATTTTATTGTCGCCGATATAATACAGAAGATTCACAGTCGTTTTGTAAAAAAAAATCTGGTATGATCTTCAATCCGAATTCATTTAAATTTCTATCTTGTCTCTAGATTTAAGATTTTAACGGTTTCAAATATTCAGGTTTTGAATTTCAATCGCGATTATTTTTTTGTGAAATAATTGGAGAAAATGATATATTAATTTATTTTTTTTAGATTTTTTTTTAACCCCCACTTCCATTTTTTAAAAAAATGAAAACAAAATCTAAATAGAGAGAAAGAATATCTTAATTTTAAGAATCTTGTAGTATTTTAATTTTATTTCGTCATAACTTTATCCCCCACCCCAAATGGAAGATGCGTCAAAAAAAAAAAAAAAAAAAAAAAAAAAAAAAAAAGTTCACGGTATGAGAGACTTGCTGCTTAATGCATTGTTTTCGTATTTAACGTGTATAATTTGATATACCTCGCATCTTCTAGCAATGATCTTTTTGCAGCTTTATATCACCGATAAAAAGAAAATAAAAACAAAAAACTTCAAATAAAAGTATGTCATTAGGAAAAAATGTGTAAACAAATGTAAGATTGAAAAACAATGTTTTTGACGAATCAGTGAGGTTTAAGAGGGCAACTTAGAAAAAATAAAAACAACAAAAAATGTTCTCAGTAGCCGTAATTATTTTTCCCGCTTCTGAATACTCTAGAAGAAAAATAAGAATAAAAATAAAAAGGTTCGTTAGGTTGTCCCATTTTAGTCGGATTTTTCACCATGCTCGAATCCCGTGATGAATCTGGGTTTGTACATATCCGCTCTGCTGAATCGGATTTACAGATGTTAAGTTGTTGTTGTTGTTGTTATTGTTGGTGTTGTAGGCGGGGGCAGTCGAATATGCAAAAGGATTAACGTTGTAAGGAGTCGAATATGGCGGACTGACGTTGCTCTGACCTAAGCAGGGTTTCCCATCGCGGACCAGGACTGGAACGGCTACGCGCCTCGGAGGATGCATTGTCGACATCTCGAGGCTTTTGTCTTGGCGCTGTCGCTTGCATTTATACCGACGGTTTTGGAACCAGATTTTTACCTGTGTCGACGTCAATTTGAGCATGTTAGCCAGCTGTTCGCGTTCAGGGGCAGATAGGTAACGCTGCTGCTTGAAGCGTCTTTCTAATTCAAAGACCTGAGCCTGTGAGAAAAGTACCCGGGGTTTCCGTCGTTGTCGTTGACGTAATAAGGCACAGTCGCCGTTTGTGTCTGCGTTGTTATTGGAATCGCCTTTGCCTTTGTCGTTTTCGGCTGTATTGGGACACGTCATTTCTACAAAGAAAAAAGAAAAAAAAATGTTTAAAATACAATTCATTTTAAAATAACAGCTTAAAATAACTGATTAAGTAAACAAATATTTTCATGGCAACTACTTTGATGGGGTTTCTCACTACTGACCGGACGAAGTGAGTTTAAGTGTGCTACTAGATTGGCAACTAGGTCCCACCCTTTTATTGTTGAATTAGGTAAATGTAACCGCTACTTCTACAGTTTCTTTTCTCGCATGTCCTACCTGTGGAACTCCCTTCCATTTCCTTCTTTACTACAAGCTTCAAAAAACTTAAACGCAACAAAATTTAAACGCATCTTGAACCTCAATCGCCATCAATCTTCTTGAACCCCGTTCAGATTTACCCTTTCCTCAGTTAGAGGGGATCGAGGAAAGGATAAAAGCTGAATACCAAGTCTTTTCTATCACCTTCATTCTCTGTAACCTCCTGCATACTAGTGGCATTCCCGGCTTCCCTGGGGGGTGAAATGATCAACTCCAACCCTCAGAATGGAAAAGTCTGAAAAATCAGGGAGTTATTCACATTCCGTATGTGCAGATGATATTCGAGTATAAATAACAAAATTTTACAATTAAAAAAAAAAAAAAAAAAAAAAAAAACAGCTTTTGTATCGTTTACTGGGGTGAGTGCGAACCCCGTACACTTAGAAATAGCGCACCCAAGTCGCAAAGGCTAACTCAACCGGAGTGCAATGGAAGGGCCTCGCTCTGAGAGAATTTGGTGTGAATTTTTACCGTCCAGTTCTCATCATTTCTACAAAAAGGCGAGGAATATTGCCAGTAATTTATTTATTTATTTATTTTTTTAGTTGTACAGCAAATATTGGATGTATCGTTAAAAGTGTTCGGGGAGGAGGTGCTGTTGACCGCGGGATATAACACCAAATGTGTCAGTAGTGAATTAAACGTGCGAAACGGTATATATATATATATATATATATATATATATATATACACACACACAATTGGAATAACGTTTCAAATATCGTCTGTACCGTGAAAGCGAGATGAGCCTCCATCCCCTGCCGATCTTTACAGTCTATTGGCAGCACTGTGGCGACTCTTCCTGCCCCTTAAAGACACACACTGGCGGCACTAACGCTAGGCGCACCGAGACAGATAGAGACGACGTAAAATGGTTTTATCTGACATAAAACAGTTCTGGCCAGGAATTTTGGCGCTCAGTTCATCGTAGTGAATTATGTTGAGAAATTTGCATTAGAATGGAAGGGCGCAAAGAGAAAGGTAAAAGCCGAATAAAAAAAAAAAATGTGAAGAGAAAATAGTTTCAAGCTGGAGAAAGTCAGAAAGGGAATTTGCAGAGAAAAGAATGCGAGAAAGGTTAGATTGAAAGAATTATTATCTTTCGTTTTAACTGGCCTTGAAAATGGGGGGAAATTATAACAAAGGCGGTGGGGGAGAAAAGAGGTAAATGGGTATTTTGAAGAATTACAGAATGTCTGATAAAAAAAAAAAAAAAAAAAGAGAAGGGAGGCTTATATCTAAAACTGCAGGTAAGAAAAAGACAATGGTTAATTCTAGAAGAATTAGAGAAAAAGAAATATAAAACGGTAACTGAGAAAGAAAAGGGAACGAAGAAAAAAAACGGTAAGTCACTATTTGGCAACCTTTCAAGGAAAGGCCACATGCTAAAATTAAGAACGCATGTCAGTGTCAAGAAAAATGTTTAGTCAATGATTGTCAAATGTAATGTTAAAGCCGCTGGTTAATTAACGAATAAATGAATAATTATAAGAATTCTACCTTCAGATTTGTTTCCCGACACAAAATTATAATATTCATAAACATTGCAATAAATAAAGTAGATAAAATATAATATAAAATTACAAAATGAATACGAAACTGAGTCTAATTATGTATCTAATTTTGTCAGTTCTCCATTTTTTGAGATGCGGTAATAATTCAATAAAAATACTTTAGCAGTTTTCAGTCCTTAAGATATTTTTAACGGAGAAATATAGAGAGGATTTTTTTTTTTTCAGGGAGAGGAAGGCCTTTAGGCGGAGTGGGAATCTTTACTCCTTCATAGTTAAGGACGAATTATCACTCGTAAATTTTGAACTTCAAGGCGGCCATGCACCATCTAATACATAGTTGCTAGACACTTCAACATGGTGTAATGGCTTGCAAGCTTGTCCTGACAGATCAATTACGACTGAGCAGCGAATTATTTTCTCACTGGGTGCTCCATACTTGCAGCCTTGTGCCACATCTAATCCCCTGCTTATTAAATCACTACATGAATAACGAATTTTTCACAAGATTTCAAACTTTGGCTACTATTAAGAATTTCCTTATCAGTTATCCAAATTTTCAAATGTAGTCGAAAGTAACGAAAATCAAAAATTTAGCATCGTAGTCCGGTAACCCTGATCTGATCCACATTCAAGCCATTACCCAAAATTTTAATTTAGAAAACGTACCGGTTGAGTAATGGATAGGGGCTCGGATTGAGGAATCGGAGCAGAGTTCGAATTCCAGTCGAATCCATTACATTCACAAGGAATCCTCATCTGCAATCCAACTCAAAATTCTGTCTCACCGGTCCTATAGCTAGCATGCACATATCGCAACTTAGCTATCAACGTAGCGATTTTTTTTTTTTTTTAGTTTATTTTACTTATTTTTATTTTATTTTACGAAGTAGTGTCCTCATAATATCTTAAATCAGAGATCTTCAAAGTGAGACAGATACAAAATTTGGTTTATTTATAATTAGCATGATTTGATTCAGAATAATTGCAAAGTGTAAAATGTATGGTCCTCTTACTGAGATTGGAGACACACAGACAGACACGTGTGTGTGTGTGTTTTGAACAATAAAAAATAAAATCATCAGACACACTGGGTTGTATATTAATATTCTTTCGTTTTTATTATTTCAATTAGATTCCTCGACTAGTTTCGGCCAGCATGGCCATGATCAGGAGAAAAAAAATCTGCTTGTTAGTAGCAATGACACACCTACTCCTGAATAATAATGATGACAGTAGACAAAATATATATTTTGTCTACTGTCATTATTCAAGAGTAGGTGTGTTTTGTGTCATAAATGTGTGCAAAATGTCCCAGTCGCTACCTCTTGTTTTATAACTACAGACAATTATAAACGTTTTTATTAAATAAAAAAGTATTCTAGAAACTTTTAAACACTTATATAGCGGCTAAATACTATTCAACGTTGAGGCTGCATTTATAAATAGTTCAACTTTCGTGTTTACAACTCATCTGCAAAATCGAATTTAATCTCTGATATGATCACCTTTGCGTAGAAAATATCGCATTAAAAAATTACTGAAGCAATTCTGGAAATACATGATTACTAAATTGCACCATGCCCCTATCTCTGGATTACTTAGTAAGCCATTAGTGATTAATAAATAAATAAATAAATAAATAAATACGACGGAAAAAAAAAGTCAAAATTGATAAACTGATTAAAAAAAAAAAAAAAAAAATTTGATTATACAGTATATTTTTTTCATTTTATAAAAAGTTTACGTTTTCTTGAAGGGAAAATGTTTGTACGAAAACACGTTATCAAATTTAAGATTTTTAATTTTTCAATCCAAAATTAAAAATCAGCACTTCATTATCATTTCTTCCGTTTCTACAGCTGATTTTACAATTATTTCAGTTTTTAATTAACATTTTAGTATCATGTGTTAACAAGCAGATATAATTAACCGAGATATGACGATTATTATATATTGTAACGAAGAGCAGGATTTTAATTTGTTTTCCACTTAACCTGAGTTGCTTATAAAATGTCCCAAGCTGTCGTGCGCTTATCACTTGGCTGTGAATCGTTTCGATTTTCATCTTTGAAAAAAAAAAAATATAAAAAAAAAAAAAAATAAATCACTCTCAAATTGTCATGGTTTTCAGATTATTAAAAAAAAAAAGTAAATATATAATTTACTATTTCATGATACTCTATATTATTTGAATATTTCCTTCACTAAGTCTGCAACAGAACTACGAGAAGTGTAAGCAATGTAAATAGAATTTAGATCACTAATGACAACCACAAAACTAATTAAGCCCTTCATTAATGCGCGTGTAGTTATTTTTTAACTTGTCCACGTACTTTAAGTACATGAGAACGCATGTACAGATTCCGTGAGTAAGTATTGTCCAAATAATTGGAATTTAGTACATTCAACCATATGCAGGCATTTATGAAGACCTAAAGAGAAAACAAATCGACCTTGTAGCATTGGTGGGCTAGGAAAAGTATTTTCTACGTCCATTACCATTTATAAAACGTTTTTTGGCATTGGTAAGTGTACCAATTACAGAACTTAAGTCTTTCTGTTTTCCAAAAGACAAAACATTTAGAGAAGAGTGTGGTTGGCAAGTCAAATTTGTATTCCGACCATATTCTTCACATGCCTTTTCGAACAAATACCGTTGAAAAAGGTCTGAATCTCTCTCATATATATATATATATATATATATCTCATATCTATGGGTGAGATAGTAGGGTGGTGAACAGTCACATAGAAGAAAAACTGAATTCAAAACCGGCCAAAGAAAATAGTGCTGGGTTTCTATATGATAAATATCCTCTTATATGGCAGTGAATGCTGGGCAATCTCACCATAGATGAGAAAATTGAGGGCAAAAGTTGTGGTTCTACGGAAAGATACCGAGTATTCCATAGATGGAGCGAGTTAGTAACGACGAAAATGGAATTAAAAAAAAACAACAACAAAAAAAAAAAAAAAGTGCTCAGAAGCAGAGACAACTGAACTTCCTTGGACACGCATTGAGGAAAAAGTTTGTGGAAATTTTAACCCTCCCAGGGCATATTGTGGGCAAGAGAGTGATAAGTGGTTTGCCATAGTTACAAAAGCAAATAAAATTAAAATCTTCATCCGCTACAGAGAGAGGATTCAGGTTAGATTCCAAACTGGAGGACATTTTCTTTACGATTTCTCGAATGCGCAGATCGATA